TTAATTTACTTGGCTCCACAGTTAACACTCTTGGTAACAGCAGCCAGGAAATCAGGAGACGAACTGCATTGGGAAAGTCGGCTGTGAGGGACCTCTCAAGAGTACTGAAGAGCAATGATGTCAGGCTGGAGACTAAGGTGCGCCTGATCCAGGCTACAGTCTTTGCAATTACGTGCTATGCATCAGAGAGTTGGACAGTAACCAGGGAGGATAGAAGGAGAATTGATGCCTTTGAGCTGTGGTGCTGAAGAAGAGTGTTGAATGTACCATGGACTGCTAGGAGAACAAACACGTTTGTCCTGGAGAGGGTGAAGCCCGAGTGTTCCCTGGAGTCAAGGATTCTGAAGCTTCGACTGACATATTTTGGGCATGTTGCAAGGAGGGACTGGTCCTTGGAGAGGGACATCATGTTTGGCAGAGTGGAGGGGCGGCGAAGGAGAGGAAGACCTTTGGTGAGATAGATCAATTCTGTGACTGGACCAGTGGGAATAAGTGTGTCTGAGATGGCTAGGTTGGCACAGGATAGAACAGCATTTAGAGCTCTTGTACATAGGGTTCCTATGAGTTGCAAACGACTCGATGGCACATAACAACAACAACAACCTAGAACTAGAAGCTAACACTCCAGAACGCTGGAATAGTAACAATAATAACGACGATAATAAAGAATGGCTTCTAGATAATCTAGAATTTTTCCACAGTTTTTGTTGTTAAGTATACAAAGATCAGAATCTTTCAAATACAGAGCATGTACTGTTATCTAAGAAAACGAATTCAAACCCACTGTCACTAAATCCTTTTAATGCACAGTGAGCTTATGGGTAGAGCAGACCTGCCCTGTGGGATTTCTGAGGCTGTCATTTTTCACAAAAGGAGGCTGCCTCAGCTTTCTCCTGAGGAGGATCTGGTGGGTTCAGGTCGATGACATTTTAGTAAGCAATACAACACTGAACCCACAAGGATGGCTATCAGGGTTCTTCTAACACATAGTGCCTTGCACACAGCTGATGGTCAATAAAGATCATACATACTTCTACAATGACACTAGAGTTTGCAGTGGAACTTAGTAATTATATTTTGTTCTCCATTTCTTGGATACATACTTTCAAAAGGCTCAGAAGATGAAAAAAGTGGAAGGCTGAAATATTTACAGCGGAACAACAACTAACCTTGATGCCATTTAACAATGGTAAAACATATAAAAATCAAACTAAATGCTCACTACTAAAAGATCAACTGTAGTACTAAGTGTTAAAGGGAGCTCTGGTGGCCTTGTGACAAGAAGCTGTGCTGCAATCCCAAAGGCACACAGTTAGAATCCACCAACTGCTCCATGGGACAAAAATGGGCAATCTCCTCCGGTGAAATTATGTCTGAAAAGCTTCCAGAAGATTACCTATGCATTAGTTCCATCTCGATGGTATACCACCACTACAACAAAGTGATAAAGAGCTATTGAGATAAACATTAACCATGATTCCCATAATAACTCCAATTACCACTGATTTGGAACTGACTCATAGCTGACACTCTCTTCAGTTTCCAAGTTGTAAATTACATGGGAGAATGCCCACACTTCTCCCTTGGAATCACTCGTGGAATGAAGTACCAAAGTGTGGCCTTTGAATTAGCTATATAATTCCCTACAGATTATGCCACCAGCATGTCCTACAATATACTCCATGAGGTATAGAATGTCTAGAACTCTGAATATAGTAATGTTTAACTAACTTATGAAATTAATATAGACTTGAAAGAAGGTTATTACACACAAGACTTTTTGTTGTTCTTGTTATGTACCATTGAGTTGGAACCAACTAAGAGCTGACCCTTCATTAGGTTTTCAATGGTGGTAAATCACATGAGAAAAGATTATTCATTTTACTCCCATGGAGCAGCTGGTGGATTTGAACCACATGCCTTTGTGTTAGAAACACATCTCTTTACCAGGAGACCACCAGAGCTCTTTCAAGACTATATACAATTTCTATAAAAATTCTCTTTTAAACCACAAAAAAGTTTGGTTTTCTTTTTACATCACTGGACCACTCCTTCAAAGTTTGTTTTGTAAGTTCCTTAACACACTGCTGCACACTTAAATTGACGACTGTGCTTAGAAACACATTTTTATTTTATTTTTGCTGTCATTTGCAGCAACATGTTAATCTTATTTTTCTAATATCTTAACGACGAGGTACATTTACTTACTTACTTTGCCCCTTTGTTATTTTTTCACAAAATTTAGACTACAAGAGGGGGATTTTTTTAATAAAACATAGGATCTTGCACTTAGAAGGTACTCAATAATTTCTTTTTATATATACACATAAATATTTTTATTGCAAGTGGAGTTCACATTTATAAAGCAAGTTGGTTTCCTTTCAAACATTTATACATATTTTGTTTTATAACAAAAACTACAACATTCATATTGTAATTATACTTTCCCCATTTCATCCTTGTACTTATTTTCATTAATCTTTCTAGCAAATGCCTTTCTGCCTTGTGGGCTTCATCTTAGGGCAAATGTTGCTTCTTCTGATCTTATTTGGTTGATTATTCTAAGCTCAGTGCCTCCCTAGTGTTCTTGGTCACCCTGCAACCCTGTCTACTGTTTGGCTAACATAAGATTTATCCTATGGGCACTGTTTAGCTAAAATACATCTGGGAGAAAGTGCATCTAGAGTGCTCCTTTGAGGCAAAAATGATAAAGCTTCTTCTCACATATTTTGGGCATGTTTCTAGGAAGGGCTATTCCTTGAAAATGGCCATCATGCTTGGAAAGGGATAGGGTCAGCAAAAAGAGGAAGACCCTCAACCAGATGGACTGACATGGTGATTGCTGCAATGGGCATGAGTGTATCAGGAAGTGTGAGGATGGCACAGGATAAGACCAGGGTCAGATCTGTTGTTCTTAAGGGTCATACTCGACATGATGGTACCTAGCAACAACTACTAATAGCTGAAACAGTTTAGCTAAAAGTTGAGTGAAAGGGGTGAGCATTGTTCAAATTTTGAAGCATGACTTAAGGGCATAGTTGTAAGGGGTTCAAATTGTCTCTAATGGATCAGTAAGCTTGGCTAACATTCACAGACAAAATGGAGATAACTAAAAGTATGTGTCATTCACTCCCCAACACACGCTGTAATGTACTGCTTGAGACTATAAATTATTTTATTAGAGGAAAAGAAATATATGCATATATTTCATTATTAAAATTTTAATACTCTTTTCATCTTCAATTATCAATTTTATGCTTGTTTGTTTAAATGCTAAAATGGTTGCCATGCAGCAACCATCAAATATCTTAAGATATCACCTTTATCATTTAAATTAAGGTTCGTATCCCTGACTTTGTTTGAAATCTTTGAAAAGCTATCAAAATATTTTCCATTCTAATGCAATAAAGATAGAGTATTCCTTATGATAAAGAAAGGGACTTTTCTATTCATGTTTACTTACTTTTCCTCAAAGCAAATTCTTCATCAGAAGGTTTTCGTTCTGGTTTGCGCTTAGGTAGCAGTTTTTTCATGGTCTTGGGACTCTTACTAAGATCCTAGGAAAATTAAAAACGGGGGGGAAATTGCAGAAACACTCAAAGTCAATAATTTTTATTTGTGTATCAGTGAGGGTGACCCTTTAGGTATGATATAATAAATCACAAAGCCACTATTAAAAACTCCCAAGTTTTATCACTGTAATACCTTTTCTTTGCCAATTGCTGAACATTATAATTAAGAAGTCATTTAGCTAATATTTAGCTGATATTCCCTCTTAACACTGATAAAAACAGGCTTCCTTTTGTTACTTGGATCCCATTAGTGTTGTAAAAACATAAAACAAAGCTGCTTTAAGCATGCATGCAGGCTGGCAGAGTTTGAAGGGGAGAGAAAATGGACAGATGGCCTAATGTGTGGACAAAGAGGGCCATACACATTCCCAAGGTGGCTGGAGAGCAGAGCTGTTACTCTTCAGGGAGCGGATCCATCCATCTACCACAATAAACTAGAAACACATAAGGAAACTAAGACTATTTTTAAATGAAAAGTAAACACATTTTTAAAAGATTCATTTTAGAAAACACTAGTAGCTTCAAGTGGGAAGAAAAGAAATAAAGAGATCAGGGAACGAATTGGCTATCAGAGAAATATAGTAACAAACACTGGCACTGGTTGCTCTCTGTAAGACACATTCACAGCAATTCAGTTATGATTAGAAAGGTAGTGTTCTAGCCTTTGCCTTTTATAACACATGGCTTCTAAAAAAGTGAAGAAAAACTAAATAAACAAAATTAAGTCCAATTAAGTGTACAGGAGAAGTTTCCACTTTTAAGCATATATGAAATAGCAGTATTAGAAATGGCTAACACTGGCATCACCTAAATTATATAAAGCTGTCTTTAATCTTAAAATGAAAAATTAAGATTAGGAATATGAAAATAAGCCAGGCTGAAAGCAGAGTAAACAAGCCTCATTTTGAAATTTATCAATTAACTCTCTTCTTTCAATTTAAAAAACCCCAACAGAAATCAGTTCAAGGGAAAAAATATTTGTACTATGTATCTGTGTCTGTAAAGTCTAATTAGAAATCAGCTTAAAAAATAATTGAAGCACCTGCTGCAGAGTGTCAAGGACTGCAGACTACAATATGGATTGAGGCTCAATGTCAAGAAGACAAAGACTCTCACCACTGGACCAATTGGCAGCATCAGGATGAATGGTGAAGAGATTGAGATTG